GGACGGCGGCTATCAGAGACGGGAAGGGTGGAGGGAGATAGGGAAGGAAAAAGAGGGGCAAGACAGACACAGGCAGAAACAGGCAGAGAACCTTTCGGCCCCTTGAATTCAATAAAGTCAATTTCCCCAGTGCGACCCGACCTAGAAGTTGGAACCCCTAGGAAAGCAGCATTGGTTTCTATGCTATGCTGTGCTATGCTATGCTATGATATGATATGCTGCTATATGATATAATGTGATAAGATATGCTGGGCTATGATATGTCATGCTGCGCTGTGCTATGCTAAGCTATGCTATGATCTGCGATGCGATGCTATGCTAAGCTGCGCTATGCTATGAGATGCTATGCTGTGCTGTGCTGTGCTGCGCTGTACTGCGCTATGCTATGATATGATATGCTATGCTGCGCTATGCTATGCTATGTTGGGCTTTGCTGTGATATGCTGTGCTGCGCTATGCTGTGCTACGCTCTGCTATGCTATGTTGTGCTATGATAAAGCTCGACGAAGCTAAGATGAAGGTAAGCAAAGTTAAGATAAACCTGAGCTAAGATGAAGCTGAGCTAAGCTAATATGAAATATGCTCAGCTAAGATGAGATATGCAGCGCTAAGCTAAGGGAGTGTCACTGGGGGAACCGCGGGGCGGATCCTGGGGGAACCGCCCGGGGCGTTTTCCACTGCCCGGCCCCTTAAGCTTACAGGGTAAGAACCCTTCTAGGCAGAGCCTAGGTAGGGAATGAGTTCAATGACAGGACGTGGACGGCCGAAAGGGGATTAGGTGCCGTTCACGGCCCATTAAAAGGGGAGCATGCTGCTTCGCATGAGCTTGCTGCCAATGAATGGAAGATGAATTGGATCCGTCAGTGGATCAGTCCTGTTTGCTGACGTGGAAACTATGTTGCTTCTTTTCGGTCGTGGGCCAGCTTATGATGCCAACCCCTGCCCACCCCGTCCCGTCTCCAGGAACTTCGCACCCCCCTTATGATGGTGGGATGGGGAGACGGTCCGCCGCCCCCTGTCGGCGATGGCCTGGTCCTGCAAAGGTGTCCCGAAATCCCGATCACCGCGCGGGGCTCCGAAAATTTATGTTCATACAGTTTTTCTTTCCTGCCTCTGGAGGAGGCGCTCGCGGATTTGGACAGCTCGGGCTCTGGCCGCCTAGACTGCGGGGTGTTCTGCGAGGCGCTGTGTTCCTTCGGGGTGGCGCCCGTGACCGCCGAGCAGGTCGTCTGCGCGCTGAGCGCGGACGGCGCCGGCGCCGTCACCTACGGATTCTTCGTCGCGGTTTGTGTGGACCTCGTCGAGGACAAGCTGGACCACATGCTCTGGAAACTCTTCAGCCTGGTCGACGAGGACCACGGCGGCGAGATGAACCAGGACGTGCTGGAGCACTTCCTGCAAGGGGCGCTGCACGGCGACGGTGGTGAGCGTGACCGCGACGGGGACGCCGGCGACATTGCCACGTACCTCCAAGGGGTGCTGGATCCTGACCTGTGCGTGAACGGGTTCGCATCTGCGGTGGCAGGCCTGCGGCCTGGGGGATGACGAGACACGATGAAGAGACACCGCTGTCGCCACTCCCTGGCCCTTTTCCGGGGCGCACTCTGACCAGGATGCCAAGGCCAATCTGGATGTGGCAACGAGGGCCAGGAGGCCCAAACAGGCCAAAACGAGGGAAGGGCGTCAGCACCAGCACAGCAGGCGCAGCAAGTAAGAAACCCCATCCTGCCAGCACGTGCCCCACAACAACCTCTTAACCTCCGATCGCCCTGGGCACCCGCAGAAGCACTGGGGCACCTCAGTAAGCTCATAGACTGTCGACGGACGTGACCATTCGATTTCTTCTAGCGGGATTTCTCATCGCACGTGTCATCTACAGGTTGCTCTTCTTCCCCGAAGGTCCGCACGGCGTGGTTGAATTCGAGCGCCTCAAGCAGCGCATCCTCGACGAGTCGGTGCGCGACCTCCGGGGGCGGCCGCCAGGGAGGACGAACAGGGGGGGAGCTTAGAGGGGTGCCCAGACCTCCACCGCAGTGAGACATCAGGACCGGCGTCTGGGGGCCCTCGCCGAGCCATGGGACCGTCGAGCAACGATCCTAGACGCAAAAACGGTCCCTGGGAAGTGGTCCAGAGGTTCGGGGACCCCGCATTGAAAGAATTAAGACACCGGAGTTGATGCGAAATGGATTGTGCGCGGCTGGTCTCCGCCGCAGGGCACCTCCCTCGGCACGTGGGTCGCCTGCAGGGCCAGGGGCTTCGGGGCGGACTGCAGCTTGAAGGAATTCTAGATGCTTCGCGTAACCCAACCAGTGCGACCGTTTGTCGTTACCCTGGCACCCCTGGCAGACACGTTGTGTCTCGTCGTATCCTGGCAATCCTGGCGGGCACGAAATTCTGCGGACAGGTCTGGCAGTGCGACAGGACAGGCGGACACTCCCTTGGCCCCTTACCCCCTTTCAGCGTCCTTGTGGCAGCAGTGCGGCGGGCGCCTGAAAGGCGTTCGACAGCGCCTCTCCTGGAGACAGCATCGTGGCGATAGTTGGCAGCGCTGCAGAGGGCGCGCCCGCGCTCGGAGACGCTCCTCGCAAAATAGACAGCCAAGAGCTTGTTTCCGAAAGTGCGGCCTTCAGCTGCAACAGTCCTCTGGGAGAGCTTCAGACTGAACATGTGGTTGTCTGCCACAGCGTGCCGGTCCCTCCCCCTCCTCGTCATAGGCGGATCGTCCTCCTGGCTGCTCCTCGCTCCTATCAGCGTCATTGGGGCAGTGTCGGTGTGGAGGCTGCAGATGCTACCCGAAGCGCGCCCCCTCCTGGAAATATTGCCACGGGGACAATTGGGGGTGCTGCTGAGGGCGCGCCCGCGCTCGGAGACGTTCTTCTCAATTCTGACAGTTACGAGTTTGTTTCCTAAAATGAAGCCTTCAGCTGCAACTGTCCTCTGGGAACGCCACAGACCGAGCACGTGGTTGTCAGCCACCGCGTATCTACTTCTCCTCCCCCTGGAGACCGGCAGGCGGGCCCCCACTGTATTCCTCACTCCTATCAGCGTCCCGGGGCCTGGTTCGCGGAGGAACCCAAAATTGCCGTCGAAAGCGCGCTCCCTCCTGGGGACAGTATCGTGGCGATATCTGGGGGTGCTGCAGAGGGCGCGCCCGCGCTCGGAGACGTTCCTCCAAATTCAACCACTCAGGGATTTGTTTCCGAAAGTGCGGCCTTCAGCTGCAAAGGTCCTCTGGGGGAGCTCGAGACTGATCAGGTGGTTGTTTTCCACAGCACGTCGGTCCCTCCCCCTCGTGGGACCGGCAGGAGGAACCCCATAGTGTTCCTCACTCCTATCAGCGTCCCTGGGGCAGGTTCGCGGTGGAGGCCGGAAATACGCTCGAAATCGCGCCCCCTCCTGGAAACAGTATCGCGGCGACGGTTTGGGGTGCCCGGGGTGCTGCAGAGGGCGCGCCCGCGCTCGGAGACGTTCCTCACAATTCTGACAGTCAGGACTTAATTTCCGAAAGCGCAGCCTTCAGCTGCAACTGTCCTCTGGTAGCGCAACAAACCGACAGTGCGACAGAACAGGCGGACACCCCTTCGGCCCCTTACTCCTATCAGCGCCCCTGGGGCAGCAGTGCGGTGGAGGCCGGAAAGGCGCTCGACAGCGCCACCCCTCCTGGACACAGGACCCCGGCGACAGTCGGGAGCGCTGCAGACGGCGCGCCCGCGTTTGGAGACGCTCCTCACAATATGGAGCCTCAGAAGTATGTTGCGGGAAGTGCGGCCGTCGGCTGCAGCACTGCCTTCAGGGAGAGGAGCACGTGGTCGTCTGCCGCAGCTTGTCGCCCCCTCCCCCTCCTGGAAACCGGCAAGCGGGCACTTGTACGGCTCCTCACTCCTATCACTGCCCCTGGGGCAGCAGTGCGGTGGAGGCCGGAGAGGCGCTCGACAGCGCGCCCCCTCCCGGAGACAGTACCCTGGCGACAGTTGGGAGCGCTGCAGAGGGCACGCCCGCGATCGGAGACGCCCCTCACCCAATAGAGACTCAGGAGTGTGTTCCGGAAAGCGCGGCCATTAGCAGCACTGCCTTCAGGGAAAGTTCGAGAGTGTACACGTGGTCGTCTGCCGTGCGGCCGCTAACTGCAACAGTCTTCAGGGAGAGCTCGGGAGCGAACGCGTGGTCGCCCGTCACAGCTTGTCGTCCCCTCCCCCTCCCGGAGGCCGGCAAGTGGACACCCATTCGGCCCGTCACTCCTATCAGCGCCCTTGGGGCAGCAGTGCGGTGGTGGCCGGAAAGGCGCTCGACAGCGCAGCCCCTCCTGGAAACAGTACCCTGGCGACAGTTTGGATCGTTGCAGAGGGCGCGCCCGCGCTTTGACACGTTCCTCACAAAAAAGAGCCTCAGGGGTGTGTATCGGAAAGTGTGGCCGTTAGCTGCACCAGTCTCCCGGGAGTGCTCGAGAGTGAACAGGTGGTCGTCCGCCGCAGCATGTCGTCCCCTCCCCCCCCTGGAGACCAGCAGGCGGGCACCCAACGCTTCCTCACGCCTATCAGCGTCCTTGGGGCAGCAGTGCGGTGGAGGCTGGAGAGGCGCTCGACAGCGCGCCCCCTCCTGGACACAGGACCCCGGCGGCAGTTGGGAGCGATGCTGAGGGCGCGCCCGCGCTCGGAGGCTTTCCTCACGATGTAGAGTCTCAGGAGTGTGCATTGGAAAGTGCGGTCGTTAGCTGTAACAGTCTTCAGGAAGAGCTCGAGAGTGAGCACGCCGTCGTCTGCCTCAGCTTGTCGTCCCCTCCCCCTTCTGGAGGCCGGCAAGCGGACATCCATACGATTCCTCACTCCTGCCAGCGCCCTTGGGGCAGCAGTGCGGTGGAGGCCAGATAAGCGCTCGAGAGCTCGCCCCTTCCTGGAGGCAGTACCGTGGCGGCAGGTGGGTGCGCTACAGATGGCGCGCCCGCGCTCGGAGATGTGCCTCACAGGTTAGAGCCGCAGGAGTGTGTATCGGAAGGTGCGGCCGTATGCTGCAGCGGTCTTCAAGGAGTGCTCGAGAGTGAACACGTGGTCGTTTGCCGCAGGCAGCTCGTCGTCCCCTCTCCCCCCTTTGGAGACCGGCAGACGGACACCCATACGGCGGGGGGTTCGATCGATCGTCTGGTATGTTCTGGAATCAAGCCGACGTTCCAGTAAGAGTTACCGTTAGTCACTTCAGTTCCGCTCCTTTGACAGACAGTGTGACCGTTAGTCACTTCCCTGGCAGTGCTCCCAGCGCAGAAACGCCCACCGCTGGAGGATTCCCTCGCTTGCTGAAAGATTAAGGTTCTCATGTTGGGGTCGTGCATCCGTTTGCCGCAGTCGCCCATGTGTGCCCCTATCTCTCCAGCCCCTCACGACCGGGCCCGGTCACCAGACAGTGCTTGGCCAGCCCCCCCGCCCTTGTGGAACAGGCCCTTGGCGCTATCAATACTTGGCACGATGCCTTGGCTTGGGCGATGCGCAAAGTGTTGATGCACGGCCTGCCCGTCTGCTGTGACAGTGCTCACTCTGGGTTCACCGCCCCTGGCCGCAGCGAGTTGCAGCCCCCCGCTGCTGGTCCAGTGTCGTCCGGTGACGGCCCAAGCACGGCACCTGGCTCGGCCTCCCCGCCCTTGGGGACCGGGCCCCCTGGCGCCGTCAATACCGGGTACGCAGGCCCCCGCTGGAGCGGGGGCGACGTGCCTCCCGGCCCTGGCCGTTGGCTGTAGTTGTTTTCGCCCTGGCCATTGCCCAGACCTGGCCACGGCCTGGTTCGGTTTCCCTGGCGCTGGCCCCTCTGCGTGACGTCTCCGGCTCACGCCTCTTGTCTCGAGCGCCTGGGCTCCGGTTACCGCCGCCCTCAGTGCTTGCGGCCCTGTGCTCACCTTGGCCTTGACCGCACCTGACCGCAGCGGGTTACAGCCCCCGGCTGCTGGCCCAGTGTCGTCAAGTGTCGGCCCCAGCACGGCACGTGGCGGACCCAGCCCCCTGGCGCCGTCAATACCAGGTACGCAGGCCCAGCTGGGGCGGGACGCGACTTGCCTTACGGCCTTGGCCGTTGCTGTAGTTGTTTTCACCCTGGTAAGTGCCCGGACCTGGCCACGGCCTGGCTCGGTCTCCCTGGCATTGGCCCCTCTGCGTGACGTCTTCGGCTCACGCCTCTCTGTCCCTCGCGCTTGGCCCCCACTCGGCTCCGTGGAGTCGGCTGCGGCCTTGAGGCGCTATGGGGACTTGCGTCCTGTCCAGTTCCAGCATGAGTGTCTGCACTTCCCTGGCATCTGGTCCTCAGTCATTGCCACAGTTGAACAGTTGGCCGTGTCTGTCAGTGCTGCTGGCCATCTGGGGTTATGGCCGCCGCCTCACTCAGGAGTGGTTCAGCCTTCTTGAACGGACTTGCGCGTCCCCCGTCGGTCCGCTGTCACTCGCTGGGCTATCATGTGGTCTCACGCTTCGCCACGTCTGTGGCGCACCGACCTCTGGCGCCCTGTGGCGACAAGGTCCTCCTACGTACCTGGCGATTCAGCTCCCATGGTGCCCGCACCAGTTCCGGCACGAGTGCTTGCACTTCCCTGGCTTCTGGTTCCCTGTTTGCTGGCCCTTTGGGACTCTGGCCCGCCGGTTCATTCAGGAGTGGTTCAGCCTGCTTGTTCGGCCAGGCGTGCCCCCTGTTGGTCCGCAGCCCAGACCTCTGGCGCCCTGTGGCGAACAGGTCCAAGTCACATACCTGGCGATTCAGCTCCCATGGTTCCCACACGTTTGCAGCTTCCTGGCAGCCCCAGCAGCTTGCATTTCCCACCCTCGGCGCTGCAGCACAGCCCCGGCGCAGCCGCTTCCCCCGGCGGTAGGTCCTGCTTAGTTCCGCGCGCGCGCCGGCAATTAGTTCCGCTCGTAGCCCGAGCTGACTCGACTCGCCGCTGGCGCCTTCGCCTGCGGTTGCGAGAAAAAAGTAACCCAACCAGCCCATCCAGAAACGATGCCG